CCCTGCGGGGTGCGCAGGCCAGGGCCTGGTTTTCCGGAGCCCACGTACCGCCTGGGGTTTAGACTGGACTTTCTCCTGAGTTTCTTCAAGCCCGTGCACAAAGCGCCCTTTGCTGGGTAGAGGCCACAAGCCAGAGTCTGGCGGGCTGCAAGTCCGGCACAGGGGCTGGGCGCTCCCCTCGGGCAGACCCCGTGGGCGTCCAGATCCTCGAAACTGCACGTGGAGGTCAGGCGGCGTGAGGGGCGGGGCCGGAAGTGGGGGCGGGGCCAGAGGTGAGGCGGTGTGAGGGCGGGGCCGGAGGTGAGGCGGTGAGGGCGGGACGGGAGGTGAGGCGCTGTGAGGGGCGGGGCCGGAGGTGAGGCGGTGTGAGGGGCGGGGCCGGAGGTGAGGCGCTGTGAGGGCGGGACGGGAGGTGAGGCGGTGTGAGGGCGGGACGGGAGGTGAGGCGCTGTGAGGGGCGGGGCCGGAGATGACGGCGGCGTGAGGGGCGGGCCCAGAGGTGAGGCGGTGTGAGGGGCGGGGCCGGAGGTGAGGCGGTGTGAGGGGCGGGGCCGGAGGTGAGGCGCTGTGAGGGGCGGGGCATCCTAGGACAGGGAAGCGGAGCAGGTGAAAGTGGGGTGCCGCAGACTCACTCAGGCGGGGCTGGGAAGCAGGTTCAGGCTTTCGCTGGGACTCAGAAATGCGGGTGCGAGCTGTGGCACCCGCGGCTCCAGGGTCTGGGAGAGCAGCCCCGAGGCCTGGCTGCCCGCAGAGCCGCCGGGGACCTGTGGCTCCTGGATAGTATCAGGCAGGGGCCGACGACCAGGGCTGGTGGGCTGGTGCCCATCGGGCGGCGTCTGTCTATGCTGTCTCTGTGTCTTTGGGGTGGGGTGTGGGTTTTTTATTTTTTAAAGATTTAAAGATTTCCTTATTGATGCATACAGAACCGGGGTACAGGCCAGAAGTGCAGGGGCGGTGAGAGGACTCACCAGAGACAGAGTGGGGAGCAGGACAGGCAGGTCGATGTAGTGCCGTGCTGAGGGGGCAGCGGGGGACAGGAGGGGTCTGCCGTACCATGTGGTCACTCCCCAGCCATGTGGTCACTCCCCAGTGGGGACCAAACCCACACCCCACAACCCACTGGGCCACCTGGGAGAGCCCCCCCACCCTGCCTCTTAAACGACGTATTTAATGTCTTATTTAGAAAAGCTGATTTTTGTGTCACCTGATGGGGGGTGGGAGGGGGTTTGAGCTGTACAAGTCACTCCCCCCCCCAACTTTCCAGAACCTTCTATGTCAGTGAACGGGTTGTTTTCCAAGGAGCTTCGTGGGAGGAGACAGTCTAGGATAGGGCTGTCCCCTGACCCTCCTGTGCTGGCTGCACTCCCCCACAGGCTGCCCCCCACACGGCCAGCTGCTGAGGGCTCCTTGCACAAGCAAGACCTCCATTCTGTGCGTGCCCTGGGACCTCCGTGGGCACCCAGCCCGCTGCCCCAGCTGCGCCCAGGCAGCCCCTGGCCTCGCCGGCCGCCCTCACTGGTCCTCCCGGTGTTTTCCAGGGAGGCGGACCCCAGCCATGGCTGGGCGGAGGTGCGGCAGATCCCCCTGCATCAGGGTGGCACTGGGTGCCAGGGCCGGCTTCCGGAAGGGGCAGAGGCTGCCGCTCCACCGCCTCAAGGTGCTTGGACCGTCCCTGCAGATAGCAGCGGCCAGGGGAGGGGTGCCCCACCGGGCCCTGGTCCTCGCCATCCCGCTTCTGATGAGGAAGACAGCAGAATCTGGCTGGGGCTGGCTAAGTGCCCCAGATGCCTCTTTGTGCCCAGCTCCAGCTGTAAAGAAGGGGTGGGGTGGGTGACCCTGTGTTCTGTGGCCCCCAGGGGTGCTGTGGACGGGGTGTCTCCGCTCCTCCCAGGGTGCCCACGCCTGGCTCTGCCATTCCTGCTGGCAGCGAGCTGGGGCCCTCTCCTGTCCCCCAACCTGCCCAACACCATGGGTCTGGGCAGGCCGGCCGCGGGCGAGACTCCTGGGCCTGTGCTGTGGGCCAGGCTGCCGACGCTGTTGCTGGCTCGTCCCCAGGCCTGTCTCAGCAAGAACCACCTGGACCTGGCGGACAGCCCCTGCAGAGAGGTAGGCCCGCGATCAGCCGCGGCAGCTCCCAAGGCCCCTTCGCGCTGCTGCTCTACTGCTCTGTGACTCGACTTTGCCACCCTCCCAGCACCCCCGGGCTTGGGGCTGGGGGCGTAAGGCGGGGTTGTGAGGATGGGTGCGTCCCAGAGTCCCAGCGGGCCTGGTTTCCGAGACTGCGACTTGGGTGTGCGTGACTGCCCATGGCTCCACCCCACCCCGGCTCCCCACCGTGAGATGGCTACCGGGGCCCTGCATGGCCGTGGCGAGCGGGTATGGCAGAGGGTATGGCAGCGGCGTGTGCCTCAGCTCAGTCCAAGCGGCCCTCTGAAGGAGCGCCACAGCTGGGCCCGAGAGAGCTCAGGTGACCACGACTGTCTCTGGGGACAAGACCGGAGGCCTTGACTGCTCAGTGCAGGGACAGGAGGGAGGATAGGCCTCGGGGCAGCGGGGTGCCCCCGGGCTCCCACACTCCGCAGGGCTCCTCAGCCCACGCCATGCAGCTGAGAGGCCTCTGGCCACCGCCTCTCGGGGTGCCATGCGCCTCGGCGGACAGCCCCCTTCAGAGCTATGGCACCGCCTTGGTCCTCACTGCAGCTCTCGGCGTGGCCCCTGTGGGGTGTTTCCAAAGGCAGCCGGGACTACTTGGGCTGCTCGCTCTGGAGTGGGGCGGCCTGGCGCCCCGGCCCCAGTGGGGTGCCCCCATGCCTCTGCCCGGGGCCGCGGCCAGGCCCACACCTGTCTCAGTTTCTAGATCCTGCCGAGGGTGAGCCGGACGCTGTCCCCAGGCAGCGGGCCTGCCGGCTCTGTGGCTGGGCAGGGGGTGGTGCCCGGCCTCCCCACACCCCCAAGCCCAGGAGCCCAGAAGAAGGGGGCTTAGAACCACCATGGAAACTTCCAGACGCCGGCCGGGCCCCTGCCTGCCTGGGGGCCACAGATGTGGACATGCAGCCGGAGGAGGCCTGCGGCCCTGCAGGACCTGTGGAGCCAGCTGGGCTTCCTGGGGCCCCAGTGGGCTGGAGGACGCCAAGAGGAGAGCGGGGGCCCCAGACCGCCAGCCCCCCCGCCACTCAGCCCCCCAGCCCCGGCAGGTTCCGGCGTGGGCGCGCCAGGGCCCGGCCGCCCAGACTCGGGAGCGAGCGGGACAAGGCGCCCACGCTCTCCCTGTCCAAGAGGAAGCTGGAGCTTTTACTTGCAGAGCCGGAGAAGAGCAAGAGAAGGAAGCAGTGTGCGCCCTAGGCCAGGTGAGCGGCAGTGCAGGGCGCCCTGGAGTGGGGGAGGGGTGGCGGGCGCCGCCATGCAGGGAGTTCCCTGGGAAGTGTCCTGAGGACGAGCCCTTTTGTCCAAGCTGGACCCGGGACCCCCTTCTCCAAACTGCCACACTTCGGCTGGGGTGTCCGGGGGCCTCACCCTCGTTCCCCGCTGGCAAGACCGTTCTCGAGCGCTGGCCCACGTGGGCCCACGCTCCGGGCTAAGGGCAGGGCTGTGGCCACTGGCTCCGCGTGCGTCTGTCTCGCTGCCCTGGTGACCACCGGGCCGTGTGTGACGCAAAGGCCAGGCGCGCCTCTGGGCAGGGGCTGCCTGTGGCCGGCCCAGCCCCGCCTGCAGGCCCTCTTCCTTCTTGCAGGCGCACACAGAGCGGAGCATGGGGCCAGCCCGCTGCGGGGGCTGCTGCAGGCCTGGACTCGCTGCCCAGCACCAATAAACGCAGATCACCTGGAGCCGCTCGTCCTGCCTCGGGGGAGGGACACGCAACAGGGCTGACCCCTGGGCAGGCAGGCCCCTCTTCTGCCAGCTCTGCCCGGAGGGGTGGTAGGGTCGGTGCCACTGTCCAGCCTGTCCCTTGCTGCTCGGCCAGCGGGTGACCCGAGGTGGGGCCCAAGCTCAGCAAGGGGCACACGGGCACCTCAGGCCTCCTGGAGAGGCTTCACTCTGGACCTGCCCCGCCCCTCAGGCAGAGGCGACAGACGCGGGGTCCATGACTGCATGGTGTCCCCTGCAGTGGCCTCTGCTCCACCTGCCATGGGCTGGGTGGCAATGCCTTCTTCGGGAGTGTCCCTGTTCTTCCCTACAGCTGGGCACACGGTACAGGTCACCTTTCTCCTCTCGGGCCCCAGAACCCTCACCTGGGTCCCTGTTAGCCTATGCTTGGGATTTGTGTAGGTGATGGGGTACCTATGGGTGCACCCCACATTTCCAGGAGCACACCCAGTTTCTATTCAGAAATGCTGTTGCTGGTTCAGGACATTTCAGGTGGGCCCAGGGGTCAGTCTCACAGACGATGAAGCATGCCTGCTGCCTGAGTGCAACCCCTCTAGGGAGTGACCCCAGGTGTAGCAGGCCCCTCCTGTCCCCCGCTGCCCCCTCAGCAGTGGGCTTCAGTGGATCTGCCTCTCACCCTGCCCACATACCTCTAGCCTGCACCCAAGCTCTTATATGCATAAATAAAAGTCTCAAACTGAAATTAAAAAAATAGTAGGCTGGAGTCCAGCTGCCTCGGGCCCCAGTGGATGCTCAGATCAGGTGGCGGGAGGTGCAGGAACTCTGGCAGCTGCCCGCCCCAAGGAAGCCCCGCTGGGGCAGCAGCGTCCCTGTGTGGCCCTGGCCACGCTCCTCCCGGCTGGGGGAGGTGCCTGTGGGGCGGGGGCAGCCTGGTGGGGTGTGCCCTGGTCAGAACTGAGGTGAACCTGCAGGGAGGCAGCAGGGTGGGCAGCTGTGTGGGCTGGGGTGAGCCCACCCCCCCCTCCGTGTGACAGGAAAGCCACCGGCCTCTGCCCTGGGCCCAGCCAGGCCTCGGGGGCACTGGAGACAGGTCCCAGCTCTGAACTCGTGAACCTCGGCTGCTCTGCGCGTGCAGGGCTCCGGCATGACCCTGGGGACAGAGCCGCGGAGCCGACTGGTGCTTAGTGTTTTATTCCCGTGGTCAGCCGGGGCAGCGCTGCTCAGCTCCCACCCTCAGGCTCCCCGCGCCCTCCCGATTCAGACCGGCCTCGCCTGTGGCCCGTCGCGCCATCCGGCCGCTGTGAACACCGTCAGACCGCCCCGCCGGCTCACTCTGTGCAGAGGACGGCCACGCCACGCTCGTAGAAGCTGCGTGGGTCTTCCTTCGTGGCGATTTCAAAGTCGACCGTGAAGATGAGGTCGGCCCGGGTGAAGTTCAGGTACACGGGCAGCGTCACCTGGGGAAGGGTGGAGGGCTGGCTGCGGGGTCTGGGCGGGCTGGGGGGGCTGGGCAGCGGGTGGGGGTGGGGGGGCAGCCTACCACGTTCGCCTTTTTCTCTGCGTTAGTCTGCTTGACCCAGCGCAGCTGTGTCAGCGGGAGCACGGTGGAGATGGCGTTGGAGAGCGACAGCTTGTTGTTGGTGCACGTGGCCCCCTGCAGCTTCAGGCCTGAGGAGAAGCCCAGCGCTGGACGCAGACAGCCGCCGCCCAGCACCGCCCGGCCCTGCCCAGCTGTCGGCGGCACCTGGCCCGAGGGCAGCCGGGGTGCAGGCTGGCGGCCCCGCCAGCCCCACTCACCTGTGACCCCAAAGCTGCAGGCGTCCAGGTTGGTGGTCTGTGAGGTGGTGACGCTGACCTCCAGGCAGAGCTCCTCCAGGGACCAGCTGTTGGCCTGGGCCACATACTGCCTGGTGGCGGTGATGTAGGCCTCGGGCACAAACAGGCCCCCCAGGCACACGTGGATGTTCTGGGGGCAGAAGAGCGGGTGAGGCAGCCCGCCCGCCCGCCCACCCGGAGCCCGGGACAGCCCGCCCGCCTGCAGGCGCCTGCTCACCTTGAGCTCCTTGGCGCCGCCCGCCGCCGCCGCCTGGGAGATGTTCTGCAGCTGCTTGATCCGCTCGCTGAAGTCGGCCACCCACTGGATGACGGTCATGCCCGCGGGCACCGTGTAGTGCGACCAGCTTCGAGGTAAGATGCCTGCAAGCAGGCGCCCGGCCTCAGTGCTGGGCGCTCCGCGCAGACGGTGCAGGTGAGGCCGGGCCCATGCGGGCTGACGGCGGGTGCCAGCCCCGCCAGCCCTTGCTGCCCGCCCCCAGGCCCGCGCACCCTTCACCAGCTCGTTGATGAGTGTCCGCAGGTAGTTGGTCTGCTTCTTCTTCCCTTCGCACACTTGCACGACGTCGGCGAGATCCTGGCGCACGTCCTGCAGCAGCTTGGCGCCCATCTTCACCTCCCGCTCAAAGAACCTGAACAGCGGGTCCTGCAGTTGTCGAGAGAGGAGAGGCGGCCCTGGTCAGGAAAGCGGTGCAGCCTGCGGGGCCGCCGGAGGGGCCCTCCTGACCCAGGGCAGTGCCGGGCCGATCGGTTGGGAGGGGCCTCCCGCCCACCCGGGTCACGCCCGAGGCCCCCACCGCACCTTGATGTTCTCCACCGTCCGCTTGAGGTGGCTGAGCGTCTGGGGGATGAGGTGCAGCCAGTTGGAGGCGGTGGTGTGCAGCGTCCTCATCCAGGTGGGGCGCCCGTCGGACGTGGAGTCCGCCCGAGTCTTCTTCTCGGTCTCGGCGTACGCCAGGTCGTCCTCGTCCTCCAGCATCTGCATCTTCAGCATCTTGCTGATCATGTCCACGCCTGGGCCGCCGTCCAGCGGGCGGGGGAGGGGGTCACACAGAGAACTTGAAGGGGAAGGCCATGCAACACGGGAGGCGGGGCCCCTCCCCGGGTGCCCCCCCCCCGCCCCCAGCAGGCACCAGTGGCTGCAAGTCGCTTGAGAATACGCAGCCTTTCGCCCGGGACTCAGCTTCCAGGTCAGAGAAGACACCCACCCTGGGTGGTGAGCAGGACCCGCTCGGCGTTGTTGGGCAGGCCCAGCCAGGAGGGCGTCTGCGTGTCGGGGAGCAGCTCCACCCACTGCACAAACTCCTCTCGCCTGGAACAGCAGCGCAGGAAGCGCGTCACGGGTGGCGCCCTGACTGCCCGGTGCCCCGTGCGACCCGCTGGCAGGCAGGCCCCACCTGATGCCGTCCGGCATCTGGATGTCCTTGTGCCCGTCGACCTTGCAGGCCAGCTTGAACTCGCTGTCGAAGCTCTTGGTGGTGAAGAGACGCTCCAGGAAGGTGCTGAGCAGGCGCTGGTCGAACTCGTTGTCCACCCGGCCGCCGTAGATGGACTGGGCCATCAGTGTCTTCAGGGCCGACCAGGGGATCTTGTCCGGCGAGATGTTCTGCCGCCCCTGGAGAGCAAGAGCCGGTCGGGGTGGGTGGGGAGGTGGTGCCCGCGCCCCGGGGCAGGGCCTGCGCGCCAGTGTCACCCCCGGGCAGCCGCACGCACCTTTGCCGTGTCGTCCAGCCAGGTGTCCACTGTGTCGCAGGCTGACCGCAGGTCAGACTCCCCGAATTCGTACTTCTTGGACCACCCCAAGGGCGCGTAGCGCAGGCGCTCCTGGATGATGGCGTGGAACCAGGCCAGCAGGAAGTACAGGCGGGCGCGCTCGTTGGGAGACTGGACAGGGAGGCCGAAGGGGAGCGTCACCAGCCCGCCACCGCCCTCGGTGCCAGGGAACGGAGCCCCGATGCACCGAGGGGGGCGCCGCGCCACGGCGGGGTGCTGCTGCTCAGTCAACAGCCAGGGAAGAGCACGAGAGCACGGCCGCGCCCCCCCCCGCCCCCCCGTCAGCCTCGGCCTCCACTCAGTGCGGAGGACAGGGCTTGGCCTCGGCGGACGCTGGGAGGACAGCGCTGCCCGCGAGCGGAGCCCGCCCCGGGTGTGCCCGCACCTTGCAGATGCGCGAGACGGGGATGCTGCTGAAGGTCCTCAGCATGTTGGCCTTCACCCCCGGGGGCGGCTCGAACACGAAGATGCGGCCCGCGCGGAGCAGGTTCACGGGCACCTGAGGAGGACGCCCCGCTTCAGCAGGCCCGGCAGGCGCCACCCCACCGCCCCGCCCGCCCCGCCCGCCCCGCGGCCCACCTTGGGGTTGATCTCCATGGTGAGGAACAGCCTGAAGCAGGCGTGCGGCTGCAGCGAGTGCAGCTTCTTCTCCAGCTGCATCAGCCAGCCGGGCGCCAGGTGCACGTTCTTCAGCATCACCCACCTGCACGGCAAAGCCGGGGACACTGCGGTCTCTGGCCCGAGCGCGGGGACGGGGGTCTCTCGGACACGCAGGCCTACCTGCCGGACTTCACGGCTGTGTTGATGGCCTTATCCGCCTGGCTGAAGCCTTCCGCGGAGCCTGGCCACAGAAAGTGCCGTGTCGGCCGGGGATCCTGGGGGCCCGCGCCCCGCCCACCACACGGCCAGGCCACTTACCGATGGCAATCGAGGTGATCTGGGTGTTCTGCTCTGCCGCCAGGTCCTCCACGTGCCCGCTGGCGTCGTAGCCGGGCACAGAGCACATCAACACGGGCGTGTTTGGCTTCACCTGCAGAGAGGCGGGTTCAGCTCCGCCCCGTCACCGCGCACCCAGGGGAGAGGCCCACGGGCGGGCTGCGGAGCCCAGCGTGCAGCGCGGGCCCTCGGCCTCAGGAGCTCGTGGCCAGGCGTCCGCAGGGGCCCAGCGCAGTACCTCCGTGTCCACGATGTGGGTCAGGTCGAGCGGCTGCTCCATGATGGACATGAAGGACTCCCCGAGGTTTGTTGAAACAAACATGTGGGCCATGGCCAGCAGGCGGTCGGGGCGGAAAGCCTGAATCAGGAGCAGGCGGTGGATGGCCTGCCCGATGGGAGCTGAGGGGAGCGAGAGCAGGGCTGCTGAAGCACAGACGCACTCTTCGGGCACAGCCTGGCCTGGCCGAGCCGCCACGTCCCAGACTCGAGAGCCCGCACACGGCCTCTGCTCCTCTGCCCGCAGCAAGTGACCCCCTCCTGCACCCTCGGGACACGGCTACGCATTCCCTGCCCCGGGCCCCGCCCTCCACTGGGACGGGAGCGCCTCACCCAGCCTGTGCCCAGTCACCCCGTGCCCAGCCAGCCCCCAGTGCTCGGCCAGGGCCTTGCTGCCTGTTCTCTCCTCGCTGCTCCCACTTTCAGGCCAGCGCCTGACATCTCAACACTGAGCTCATCTTGGACGCTGGGGGATGTGTGCATTTATCAGGTAGCAAAGCCCAACCTCCTGCATGGGCGTGGGGGGCCGGGAAGCGGGGGCGCTTACTGGCAGGGGTGTCTTCACTCCAGAGGTAGGGCACTGTCTGCTCTGGGGAGCTGCTGTCCAGCCAGATGCCAAATTGCTGCGGAGACAACAGGGGCACATCACCACAGAGCGGGCCGCGGGCGACGCGCCGGCACACGACTTTCACTCCTCGCTGCCAAGCTCCGGGGACGGGAGCACCGGACACTCACGTCGTCTGCCTGAACCTTCGCAATCAGATCCTTAAACGCAGGGAGACAGCTCAGCCGCACCACTGCTTCGGCCTGCTCGACGGTCAGGCCCTGGACCTTGGGGGTGGCTCCAGCACTCAGGACGATCTCCTTCCCCCTCAAGAAGTGCTGGAATTCAGCATCATAGGTGGGCTCGCTGTGGAGGGGCCACGGGTTAGCGAGGCGCTCTGGCCGTCCCCACGCGCGGCAGAGATTTCCAGAGCGCTGGGGGGGGGGGGGCGCGGGGCCGGGCAGGGCTTGCTGGAAAGAGGCAGCGCCGGCCTTACCCCACCGTGCCCTTGAGCTTGATCCTGGCGAGCAGCATGGCGAAGGTGATGTGGTCCTGGTGCAGCATGCCGCGTGCCACACGGTTGAACGCCACCTGCAGACAGGAGGCGCGGTGACCCCCCAGGTACTTCGGGGCGCCGCCCTCCTGGACACAGGCGCAGACCCCGGTACCTGGAAGAGGTCCTTGGTGATGATGGAGAGGCGCTGCGTGTGGTCAGTGATGCCCTTCAGGTTGGGGTTCTCGTACAGGACGTTGTGGTAGATGTCCAGGAAGAACTGGAGGGAGTACTGGTACAGGAAGTGGATCTGCAGGGCAGGGCGTGTGTGAGGCGGGCAGAGGCCGCGGGAGGGGCAGAGGCCGCGGAGGCAGCCGGGCGGGCCCCACCTGCTTCAGCGACTCCATGGTGAAGTAGATGCTGCTGCAGGCGGTGGACAGCGGCAGGTACTGCTGGGACACGGTCTCCACCTCCTGCATCACGATGTCCGTCTCCTCCACTTTGCGCGTCACCTCGGCCGCCTCCCTCTTGAGGTTCTCCAGCGTCGTTATGATGGTGTCGTCGTCCAGGATGCGCCCCTTCACCTCGTTCAGGGCTTGCAGCAGGGACTTTTCCAGCTGGCGCAGCCGGAGCTGGAACTCCCCTGGAACGACAAAGGCAGGTAGCCCAGGGCCCGGTGGGCAGCGGGACGCCAGCTCAGCCCAGCCCCGAGGAGCCCCCAGCAGCTTCTGCTCAGAACCAGACCTTGGAGTTTGAGGAGGTCGGAGCGTTTCTCATCCACGTCGGGCCTCTCTGCTTTGAGCACTTCATTCAGGCACTGGCTCTGTAAGCTGCTGCGCGTGACCGTGAAGTTGACGAAGGTGACCCGGGAGCACAGGTCTGGTGGGAACTCGACCTGCCAAGGGCCCGGAGGTCAGCCCGTCCCATCGGTGCCTGGCGGCTGTACCACGTGTCTGCGCAGGTGCTGAGCTTACCGTGGGGTCCCGGGTAGACAGGAAGATGACGAACGACGGCGACAGGTCTATGTCCTGGTCCCCGAGGGTGATGAGCACTCTGCCCCCTGTGCGCCGGACCTCACGGTTCAGCACCGGGTTCAAGACCGGGTCGTAGCTCTCCACGTCCTGCGCACACGCAGATTCCAGCCGTCAGGCCCTAGCTGGCTAAGCTCGGTAACGCTGTGCTGATGGCGACGCCTCACTCCAACAGACAGCCCCGACCCGTGCTGCCGGGCGCAGCCTGCACGGTCAGGCGCTCGGGGGTTTGTCCCTGCAGGACACTCCGCAGCCCTTCCGCTCCCTCCCCTCCCTTGCTCGAGTCACGCAGCCTGGGACCATCGCTGTGTGAGTGGCGGGACTGAGCTGTACCCCATGGCCCGTGACTGAGCACCCTCACGCAGCCCTTGCGGGCGCACGCAGGGTCCCCTGGCGCGCACCTGGACCAGAAGGGGGTTTCCGAACCGTAGGGCGCTCTCCAGGTTCTTCCTGAAGGCATCGTCCAGGAAGCTGGTACGCGTGATCTTGCGGTCCTTGTACTCGTTCATGATGAACTCCGTGGCCTGCCCTGAAGGGTCGATGATGAGCGGGTACCTGAGGGGGAGAGGGGGCGGGCTAAGGCACCCAGGCCCAGCGGAGCCTGGCAGCGCAGGTAGCTGCCCCCCCGCCGCAGGCACGGCTCTTCGATTCTCCAAATGCTAAAGCTTGATGCCAAGAGGCCCTCGGAGGCGCGTCTGAGGAGGCAGTCAGTCACAGGTGACCCGGCGTGCACCCCTCGACCATCCGCAGCACCCCCGGCGCCACGTCGTCCTCACAACAGCCTGGGGTTCCTTTCACAGGTGAGGCTAACGGAGGCATCCGGAGTGGGATTAAAGTCAAGCCTAAGGCTGGGTGACACTGGGCACTAACGTGCGCGTGAAGCTGCTGCCCGCAATTCCAGTCGCAGCCGCCTGGGCGGGTGCTGGCTCCAATTTCTGAGCAACGTGAAACGCACACATGCGGAGCACACACCCCGTCATGCCTCATGCCCGCACCTGCTCTCCTTGGGCGGGGATTCGGGCCCAGCCCCAGGGGACAGCCCGGGCCAGCTGGGAATTGGCCCGAGGGGTGGTCGAGGTGTGTCCAGCCTCCAGTGGCAGACGTCACCCTCATGTGTGGTCTGGGCGCCATGTGGCGGCGGAGTGAGTGACACGGCAGCGAGCACAGCTCCCGCCCGCACAGGCCAGCGCCTCCCAGACAGGCCCCCGGGCGAAGACTGACGCCCAGGGAGCGTTCCGCATCTGTCCCTGGGATAAGGTCCCATGATTTCAAGGGTTCAAAGTCAGAAGGGTCTGCACAGCAAAAGGTGTCCCCTGCTGCCGAGCAGGGCTGTGGGCCAACCACACTGCTGACAGATGCAAACCGCCGGGTTCCAGAGCACTGCAGCTCAGCACAAAGCCCAGTCAACTGGGCAGAAGCACAGACACAGACTGCCAGCGTGAGCGTGAAACGTGTCCAGTGTTGCAACGTTAAAAAAAGCCGTTCATGGCCCTCCCTGGTGGCCAATGGTGGGGACGCAGCACTGGAAGCTCGTTGCAGCTGCCTCAGTGTGAGTTCGATCCCTGGCCCGGGAGGTGGCCCACAGGGCGCAGCAGCCCTCTCCTGACCCGCCCGCTGCTCCCCTCAGCACTGTATTTCCATCAGTCGGCCTGTTCTGCTCCCCACTCTGTCCCTCGTGAAGCCTCTCACTGCCCCTGCCCCTCTAGCCCGAACCCCCAGTTCTATGTGTAGGGGTAAATCTTAAAAAAAAATAAAAAAGTTCACAGCATTCGTGAGATCAAAAACAAATCTGGGAACAGAGTTTTCGGAGTAGCAACACCCCTGGGTTCAGAGCTGTGGCTGCGGAGGGCAGAGCCCTACCAAGGCAACCCTGCCCCGCACCCAGCGCTCCACCCGCAGCGCGGGCGGCCCTGCCGTCCCCGCCGTCCCCGCGGCGTCCTGCTGCTCTGGCTGCGTTAAAAGCCGGCAGCGACCTCCTGTCATCTCCACTTCCGGGTCTCGGCGTGAGAGCGGGCCCGCGCCAGCCCTCGAGTCGGTCAAGGGCGCCAGGTGTCGCCCCACACAGGCGAGTCGCAGCCCTCGGTCTCGGTCTGGGCTGTGTCCAGGCAATGCTGTTAAGGCGGGGCCACTGCTCGGAGCTCCGGCCCCGTGGGACGCACCTGTTGAAGCGCTTCAGCATGATGGCGTTCTCCGTGCACAGGTCGTCGGCGGGCAGGGAGCTGGCCTGCCAGCGCAGGCGCTCGTCGGCGTTGGACAGGTACTCGGTCCTGGCGATGTCTGTGCGGAACTGGAGGGCGGGGGGTCGGCCTGGGCCTGCCGGGAACCGGGGCGGGGAGGGGACCCAGCTACCCGGCCCCCCACTGCCGGCCGGCTACCGGGGCTCCCTCCGCCAGCCCGGCCCGCCTTCACGCCGCGTGAAGCCCCGGGCAGCTACCTGCACGTTGGCTTGCTGCAAGTGATGGGACCAGGTGGTGAACAAGTTCTGGCGCATCTGCTGGTCGAAGTAGCCGGCATACGCGACGAAGGCAGCTGAGAGGAGGCAGTCCCCTGCGATGGTGGACATCTGGTTCTTGAAAGTCTCGCTCGTCTTCTCCCACCGCTCCCGCTCGGCAGACAGGCTCTTCAGGAGAGCGGTGCTCCGGTTCACCTGCGCGGAAGGCCGGTGATGCTCAGGGTGTGGTGGCCCCCAGGACGCGACCGGGAGCACGCGCCTGGTGGGGCTCGGCAGGGCCAGGGCCAGCGCGCTCGGGGACAGGGCCTGGCGCGGAGTGACTGAGGACGAAGGACTCTTGGAACCCAGTTGAGTCACAGACTCCACTGGGCGTGAGCGGAGGGGTAGAGGGAAGGGGCCCACGGGGAGGAGGAAGGTGGGTGAAAGCTGCTACAGAGGCGGCACTGATGGCAGGGGACTGAGCCTACTCTGGCAACTCGAGACGGGCGTCAGTGGGGGCGGGGGCGTGAGGCAGGGCGAGCAGGCTGCAGGGCCGGGGCTTGGGCGGCCCAGACGGGTCACGCCGTCACCGACCCGGCCCGCAGGCCAGGTGCTCCAGGCGGGCACAGCACACGCAGCAAGGCTGGAGCGCCCCGGGCCCCGGCACCGAGGCGGACGAGCAACTCGCATCACCACCCGCGGGCATCCCAGAGGGCGGTCTGGACCTGGGGGACGGTCTCACTTTCGCCTCGACAGCAGCCAGGTCGGCTTTGATGGCCTGGGCCTCTGAGATGAGCACGGCGTACTCCTCCTTGTAGCGGGCGATGCTGGCCTCCAGGTCCCGGATCATCTGCTCCACCTCGTTGGCCTTCTGCTGGTTGTCCTTGGCGTCGTCCTCCAGCTTCTGCAGCTCGTTGCGCAGGGGCTCCACCCGCTTCAGCATGTCCGCGTAGTTAAGCTGAGGGAGCAAGTGGGCACCGCTGTCCAGGAGTGGCCGGTGGGCGGGCCCCGCGGGAGCGCCAGGCCGGCAGGTACCTGTGCGATCGCCCACTTGACCATCGGGCCGCAGGCCAGGGAAGCCCGGTTGACGATCTCGTAGTTGTAGCTGGGGTTGGACATGTAGTTCTTCTTCATCTTCTCCCTGATGGCGTCACTACAAGAGAAGAACTGTGTCTCTAAACACACGCAGGGCAAAGCGAAGCAGAGGCCTCAGGGACTGGAAACGTGAGGGTCCGTCCCGTCCGGCCTGCCGCCAGCTGCGGGGACCAGCCCGGCCCCAGGGGACAGCGGGCCAGTGCGGCCCACTGCGGTTCTGGCGTGGCCGCCCCACAGGAGCCAGGCTCCGGGGCAAAGGGGCGGTGCCTCGCCGCTGCGGGGGGGGGGGGGGGGGACACACGACCTGACAGCTCTGAGTGGGCGTGGCCAGCAGGGTGAGCCAAGGAAGGCGCGGCCAGCAGATGCCGGTGCCTCCGGCGCTTCCCGCCTCCCGCCACCCACCTGATCTCCTCGGCCGAGAAGTTCACGATGGTGGGGATGAAGTTCTCCCGCATGATGATGGAGCGGATCTGCTTCCAGTCCGCCGTGCTCTCCCCCAGCAGCAGGCAGATGGACTCGAGCGCCAGCTTCACGGCGGCCGGCGGGTTGGCCATGGAGCGGACCTCCACCAGGTGCTGCTTCTTGATGGACTTGACCGCTGCGGAGCAGGGGCAGGGTGAGTGGGAGGCAGGGGCCGCCAGACACTGAGAGGACCGCTCGGGGCCCACGTGGACCGTCGCGTTTTGTTTTAATGTAACAGGCTGCCTGGCCTAAGTCAGAAGATTCTGCGCCAACCACGCTGTGTAAATAGCAGGATGTGGGCCCGCCTTAACCACCTCCACAAAGGCGGAAAAATTCAACACCCATTTCTAAAGTATTTCAACAAAGACACTGTTGGTTTGCCACAATTTGTGGGTGTGCCAGCCTGGTAAAGGTGTGGGATCAACAGCTGCCCAAAAAGGGCCAATGTGGGGCCCTCGCTGGTGGCGCCGAAGGTTAAAGCCAGCCATAGCTGTTGCAGTGCGAGTTCCATCCCCGCCCCGGAGGCGACCCACGGGGCACGGCAGCCCTCTCCTGACCCGCCCGCTGCTCCCCTCAGCAGTGCTCCCCCCTCTGTCTCTGGTGAGTCCTCTCACTGCCCCTACACCTCTGGCCTGCACCACAGTTCGTTTATGCATAAGTACATGCAAATATATAAACAAAAACGTCGCATTTTCAGGTCTGATGGCGCAATGGGTTAAAGCACAACACTGCAAGCTACTTGCACAGCCACTAAAGTGCAGACCTCTCCTGTCTCCCCGCTGCTCCCCTCAGCAGTGTAGTTCGTCAGTCTGCCTGTTCTTTTCATCTCTGGTGAAGTCTTTCACCCACCCTGCAACTCTGGTCTGTACCCCAGTTCTGTATGCATAAACAAACAAATCTTAAAAAAAAAAAAAAAAAGTCAATGTCTGCCACAAACAGGAAATGCAGACTTTTCCAGCAGGTGAGAAATCAAATTCTGTTTGAATTCTGCTTCGAACGGCAGCCTGCAGGTGGATGGTGCGTTTTATGCACCTGTGGTGTAACTGGAAAGCTACAAGCAACAGGGTTAGTCGGCCGGGCAGGGAAGGGCGCGGGCGGAGGCCACTGTGGGCCGTGAGGCAGAAGCCCCCCCACGGACCCTGAGGAGCCAGCAGCGGCTGTGTCAGCATGCAATGGCCTCTGCAGCGTGGCTGGGGCACGCAGGCAGTGCCCGACGCCGCGGTGGCACCACGGAGCTTCTCGGTGCAGTGTAAGCCAGGGTTCCTAAGCAGCGTGTGGCCGCCACCACGACCAGAGTTTTGGAACTGCACTGACGTAAAACTCTGCCAACTTTCTTTTGAGGACCCCACTAGGACGTGGGCAGGATAGCTTTCCAGGAAGGGGTGTGCCCAGAGGTACAGGTGACCAGAAGCACTCAGGAAGCCTCATTTACTGAGGCGGATGTTGGCCCGACCCCACGGCCCACCGCTCCCCCAGGGAGCACTCACGCACGTACCGTTCTGGGCCTCGATGACGGCCGGCTCCACCTTGTCCAGGTCTTCTTTGACACTCATCTGCTTGTCTGCAATGACCTCCTGCTGCTTATGCAACTGCTCCTGAATTTCCTGGCTCATGACCTGGGAGGGAGCGCCGGTTAACCCTGGGAGAATGTGGCGCGCCACGCCTGCACGCTCACCCACCTGCAGACCCCGATGTAAACAAGTTACCTTTTTCTTTTCAGCCTCTTGCTGGTCTTTCACCATCTTCTTCAGCTTGTCGTTGGCGGCCGCATTCTTGACCTCTAGCTCTTGGCTCTTTATCCTGAGGTCACGACGCAGCTCTTCCACCTGAAAACCGGCCAGGTCAGAGGGCAGGCACCCTGCAAGGAGTCCTCGCCCGGCCCCCAGCGAGGCCGGCGCTCAGCGCACCTGGTCGACGGTCTCTTTGATCTTCCTGAGCCCCACGTTCAGGTGCATCTGCTGCTCCTCCAGCTCGCTGCGCTTCTCGTGGAACAGGTTGGCATAGTGGTTGATGAAGTCCAGGTAGTGGCGGGGCGTGATGGCCATGGTCCTGCCGCCTCGCTTGGCCAGCCGGGCATTCGCCTAGCAGGGGAGAAAGTGACCTCCTCACTCTTCAGCATGCTCTTGCCACGCAACCCCAGAAGCCCCTCGCCACGTCCAGGCCGCGGCATCGCAGTGCACACGGGATTCTCACCCAGCCCCGGGGTCACCATGTGACACTGCAGGAGGCCCTGAAAGCTGCCTTTCTCTGGCCCCTCCCAAGTGAGGAAAGTGAGTGTGGCCTCCGCAGAGGTGCCCCTCAAAAAACATTGGCCTTCTCTGGTCCCCTCTGGCCAGAGCAGGGATGAAGTCAGCAAGGCCAGGGCTAAACTCGATTCCAGAAGCCCAGGAGGTAGTCTGCAGGTCGGTGGGGGAGGGGAAGAGGGCAGAGGCCCACAAAGCTACCCCAAGCTCCAAGTGGTTTTATAAAGCTTTTGGGTAACAGACAGCTGGACCCTTCCATCAGAGTCTCAAGCCAGGGCCAGCACACCCTGGCCGGTGGGGGACGTCTGGCCCACACGCCCTGCCGCTGGGGCCTTTGCAGCGCACTGCCACGCCCCTGTCTATGCGCAGGCACGCTGGGGTGTCCAGGCAGAGTGCTGGCCTGGCCCTTTAAGGAGTCTCTGGAGTCCGGCCCAGAGGGCAAGGGCCTGGCGCAGGTTGGGCCGTAAAGGCGGGGGCAGGGCGGGCAGGGGCGGGCAGGGCGCCGCCTCCTGCTGGCGCGGCCGAGCCGGTGTCTGCCTCCCCAGCACTCGGGCGGAACCCACCTGGTGAAGCGTCTGGTGCACAAACACGCAGCTGTTGACGATGGCCTCCCGGTGCGTGGGCGGCTGCGGCAGCTTGTCGTACACGACAGGCATGTAGTCAGGCACGATATAGCTGGGCTTCTCCAGGTCCATCTTACTGGTGAACTCTTTGCCGACTTGGTACAGCGCCTCGGTGGACCAGTCCCCAAACCAGTTCAGCACACACCTGCAAGAGAGGCCCGAGTCTCGGAACAGCCCCGAGAGGCGGCGTCTTGGGGGCAGCCCGGGGCAGGTACCTGTTGAACAGCGCGGGCGACGTGGCCGCGCGGTCCTTGAGCCCCTCCGAGGAGGGGTTCATGGTGAAGACCACGTGCAGGTTGCGGATGACCTGGCTGGTGAACCACTTGTACAACTCCTCGTGCGAGTCCAGCATCAGGCCCTCCTTCTGGGCGCCCTCCTTGCACTGGGTCATCAAGGTGGCGTACTCGTCTCCCTCGAAGAGACCTGGCACCTAGGAAGGCAGACGGCGCCCTCACTCGGGTGCCCGCGGCCGGCGCGGGGCGTGACGCCGTGTGGCCGCCGTCATACCTCTCCGTTGGCCAGCAGGGTGTTCATCCGCTCCAGGAAGCCCGAGTCCAGCACGTTGGACTCGTCCATGATGAACGCGATCTTCTCGTTCTTGCAGCCAGAGCGCCGCAGCACCGTCCGCAGGTCCTCGTCGAAGTCCTCCCCCGTGTACTTCCGGTGCACCTACGGGGCAGCCGCGGCTTAGCTCGACCACGCCGGGAGCGGCGTGCCGGGGCCGGGGCCGGGGCCGCGGGGCCGGGCCGGACTCACCTTGATCTGGTACACACTCAGGCCGTTCATCCAGGCCACGAAGCGGGAGAGGGTGGTTTTTCCTGCCCCACTGACACCAATCAGAAGCAGGTGGCCTTGAGGCTGACGGAATATTCTGCAACATCATCGAAAGGGGACCCCTGAGGGCTTTTGGGCTCTGTTCCCTTCGGACAGTCATGTCCTAAAGCACGTAGCATTTTGTCGACAACATATCGCACTGTTCCAACTCATACATGTACGTTAAACCACTCCTGAACGATGGTCACTTGGAGTCCAGGGGAGGCACCAGGAACACAAGACATGACCTTGTCTCCGGTTACTGGGATGGCACAGGACAACCCCAGCCCCGTGAGGCGAAGGGACAGTGACCACAGTAGCCAGGAGGTCTCAGAGGAGCGGGAGTTGTTCTGTGCAGCAGGGCACGCCCCACGCCCCAACTGCACCCGGAGCACCCACCTGTCAATCCTGAGCACGTGGTCTAACACCTCATTGAACAGGACCAGGGGCACGTCGAGCTCCTCCTCGTAGAAGACCTTCAGCCGGGCTTTGACGTAATCCCGCAGCTCCTCTTGGTCTACTGGGGTGTAATCCTATGGGGGGGGGCCCTAATCGTTAAGGCGGAGTCACACTTGTTACCACCCCAAAGTCAACTCCACTTCAACGTACGGATAGGAAGTGGTTATTGAATGCAACCCGCCACCGCTGACAACGTAGCGGCAGGGTGTAGTTTAACTTGGCCTAAGTCACATACAATGCGATAGAGGAAACTGAACTTCACTGGAAGACATCACAGAAGACCCACACAGATGAACAGCTGCCCCACGGCCTGGCCGAGGACGTCCTTCAGGACACGCACAGTGCCGGGGCAGGCCGCCAGGCGCCGCTGGGACGTGGGAGAGTGCCTGCAGTCGCGCCGGCGTCCCAGCATCTCCACAAGCCCAGCTCGCTGCACCCCGCCTCTGCTCGGCGCGCCCTGACACCCTGAAGACGGGCACCGGGGTCGGCGCCACCTGGGTCTCCCCAGACCGAGCCCCGGGGCAGCAGGGCCCGAGCGTGAACTGCACGTCGCGAGTCAGGTCTACTCCAACGGCCGCCTCTCCTGCCCAGCTAAAGGGGACTTCACACTACCCGGAGATGCCAGCTCTGTTAATAGTTTGTGCACGAGCCGATTTCCCACCCATGATTCAGCTGCCTGGCTCCAGTGTGAGGAGAGCGAAAGCAAAGCTAAACAGGCTTCAGGCGATGATTCCCGTGGCTGCAAAATGGTCGCCCTCGCGGCGCCCTCTCGCGGGGCGAGCAGCACCCAGTGGGCGGCCCGACGGCCACACTCGGGGCCACCGACCAGCCCCGGCTGCAGACGGCGCCCGGCAGCTGTCCTCCGGCCTCGCAGGCAGCACACGCGAGGCGGCTGCTCCGCGACAGCCCGGCGGGAAGGCCTGCAGCGCCAGAGCGCTCACCTTGGACAGCCAGTTGCTGTACAGGATGGGCCGGCTGGCTGCCTTCTCTTTGTCTATGTTGGGGAAGTGCTTCAGAGCAACCATGTCGATGTTTTCGTCAGTCCAGCGTCTCTCCTCGTCTTCCACAAGCCTGGGGAGAAGAATGTGTCTGGTCCAGAGGCTGTGGTGAGACACCCCACTTCTGTGGGGGCTGTGGACTCCAGGCTGAATTAGTTTTTGCACAAATACTCATCTTCCACAAAGGGAGGGACCCAGGAGCCTGAAGCTCACAGTGAACTCCGCTCAAGCGCAGCATCAATACACTAAACGACGCCTCTAGAGCCGGCTCATTACAAACGGCTTCAATAGTGAAATTCTGAGTAGCTCCTACGCTTGTTTAGTGTAAACGCCACAAGCACCCCGGCGGCTGATACCGGGGACGGCTGTGCGGCTGTGGAGGCACCGGGCTCTCCGGAGACCGGCCACGCCGGCTGGTGACACCGTGCGGCCGCACCGGGTGAGGAGAGGGCCGAGGGGCACAGGGTGTGCTGGCTCCCTGGCCTTACCTGTCTTGGAAGAGACGGAGGGCTTCGTGTGCCCAAATCCGGATGAGGCCTTCGACGGGCAGAGTCTCCAGAGGCCTCAGAGCCTCGAAGATGCCCCTCACCCAGCGAGTCATTTCCCGGGGCGAGTATATGTAGTGCGGCTGCGTGTCCTGCGTGAAGCGCTCCTGCAGGGGAGA